AACTACTGATTGGTCCCTCCCCTGGTCCTAGGACACAGTTATGCAACTGGACTATGACAACATCTTCCAAAGGTCTTTGTCTTCAGCTCTACTCCTATACCAACCTCACCTGGGTAGTAGATGCAAACTTTACTCCTCTTTATTGCACATCTAGTTGTTTTTAATATTTATTTGCTCACTTGCTTGCTTACTTATTTTTGAGGTGAGGTCTTGCCAAATAGCCCAACCTGACTACCCTTAAACTCCAGCTTGGAATCCCCCTGCCTCAGACTCCCATATGCTAGAAAGACAAATGTTTGCCACAGTGCCTAGCTCTGGTCTCCCTAGCCTACCACCAACATAAGTATTCACCAGTTCCTATTGGCATATTCTGTGGTCATTCGGGGAACTCTTCTAGCCTCTTACCTTCTGGTTGGGTTTCCTTTTTTGACAGAGGTTATAATATCTACTACATTGTGGAGCAATTTAACAGCAAATTTCTTTCATTCAATGTCTTCTTTAGCCTCATAATAGTTAAACCAAAGTCATTCTTATCAGTACTTATCATATTAGTTCTTATCAACCCATATGGTTCCTGCCTACCTATTTTCTTCTACTTCCTTAGATGTTAAATGTTGTGAGCTTGGGATCCTGCTTGCCATTGAATCCCCAGGATGTGGCACAGTTAGTGCTACATAGAATGCAATCAACAAAGGCTACTTAAATGTTGTTGTCAGTTTGTAAGCTCTCTAGTATTAGACAATAAAAACAAATAGAAATAAATGATCATAAACACAAACCAGAAAATTTAAAAATCTGAAAGTAGACATCTAGGATTACATTTCTGACTCTATCAATGCTTTATTGGCTATGTTTGACAAAACAAAATTTCTCCCTAAAACGTAATGATGTAACACTTGTCATTATCGAATATACAATAAAAATGATAATGGCATCTTGAATTTATGGCTATCAAGTAGTTAGAAGCATGTCTCATGACTTATCTTTTTGTGTAAGTCCCTTTGGGCACAGGGCCTGTTTATTTTCTAGAGGGTAACAGTGGGTTTGGCAGCCCTCGTTGATGCTGGCAGAGCAGTGGCTGAGATGGTACCTATTGTGTATCAGGAAGATGCAAAGATGACTGCCATGAGTGTCTGCCCTCTCGGGTGCAAATGTGGGATGCATAAGGTAGCCTCTATTACACACTTGTACATCTAGTTTCTCAAGAATCCAAAATATTTAGGGGTGAGATATGTTCAAATTATTCCAGTATTTCTGCTTGTTTCTGGAATCTTTCCCCGTGTTTTTTGAGCTGCATTTCTTTTCCCCACACCCGCTTGGACCATCTGCGTACCAGGCAAGCTGTGTGAGGTACAAAGCCAAAGTGAAATCTCTCTGTTTCACGTATTTAAAAGGGCTATGACTAATGATGGGGCAATGGCCTGCCTAAGGAAAGAGTGCACCTCTGCATGAACAGCTAGGGAAGCCTGGAAGTCACTGTCATAGACAGCCAGGTCCTGAAGTGGAGGTCTCAGCACCAATGCTTTGGCCCTGTCCTGTAAAAGGCACACAGTCTGCCTGTAAGGTGGATGAAACTCTCTAAGATGGGATTCATTATCACCGCCAAATGGCAATATGTCTTAAAACTTACGCATTCTACTCCCAAGTATAACAATATTCATTTTACATTTAAAAAAAAAAACTTGGGTGAATTTCACCACATAATGTTTTATACTTGAAAATTCTTTACAATAAAGCTGTAATATAAAATGTTTTAATTGTTTAATATTAATTAAAACTAACTTAAACAACTTTTAGGGTCATTCCCTCCTCCCTAGAGTCTTAGGATTCTTTTTTTTTTTTTTTTGAGTGACATCATAGCTGTTTAATGGTTCTTTAACTCTTGTCAACTTTAAAGTAGGTTTAACAGCACCAGTATTACAGAGCTGAGTTTTAGGATTCTTGCTAGAATTTAACAGGGCCCTTCTTACATGCATTGCTTTTACTCTGCTACAGATAACCTCCAAGGTCATCTCAGAAGTCTTTGGTGTCGGCTCTAAGCCCACGTGTTAGCATTTCACAGCTAACATGACTGAGATACGTCATCTAACAAAGCAAGTTAAATTTCTTCCGATGCAGATTTCCAGTTTGAGACTTGGGAACTAATTGTCCAGGCCAGAATTGCCTGGTTACTCCCCTCTGTAGATCTCACTAGAGCTCAAACCAAGAAGTGACACATTTAGTGCTTTTGTGTGACTAGACTGCAGATATGACCAAGCGACAATCTGGTCCTGCTCAGAGAGGAATACAAGAAGTGACTTATTTCTATGTTGAAATTTCAGAACGATTGAAAGGCCTACCATGTGTGCTGTTAAAAGGCTTTTAATTTAAAATTATTGTGTTAGATAATCATGCTTCAAGTGACAGTATGATTTATCACCACTAATCAAGATTCTGACCCCTCCTAGACTTCTTGTTTGTATCTGCTTTTGTTCTCTGTTACATAAATATGAGATTTATATAGAAAATTCTGACTGTGTAATATAGGGCTAATGAGTCACAGATGGAAAGATCCTGGCACATTACCATCTAATAACATTTTAAACTCATATTCCATAGTAAAAACAAAAGCAAATTGTACACATCTGTTTTCCAACTTGTGGCATTTCTGAGTTTGTGGAGAGTCGATGCTTAGAGGACTTTCACTTAGGGAGAATGAGAAGAAGACCTGGGTCACCTCAAACCTGCCCAGCCACTTTATACCCTTATCAGAGTAGATCTGGCACAAGGGTTTCCTTTGTTAGGCTTCCTGAGAACTCAGAGCACTAAACAATGAGAAGCAAAGGATGAATCAATAGGACTAAAGCACGTCTTCATGCTACAAACCTAAGTTTATTGATTATCTCAAAAAGAAAAGCATATCCCCAACATCAGAAAAATGAAGAGAAAATACCCACTAATAAACTGATAAGGTTAAAAACCTAGCAACTCTCTGGCCTTTGCTAATATACATACGTGTGTGTGTGTGTGTGTGTGTGTGTGTGTGTGTGTGTGTGTGTGTGTGTGTGTGTGTACATATCCTCGACAGAAGGGTAGGACAAACAGGGAGGAAACTGAAGCTATCCATTGCTGGGCTGTTATTAACTTATATAGTAAACATGTCTTATAGTTTTAAAGGGGATAAAAGACTCCAATTTCAAATGTTTTTTTTTTTTTTTTTTTTTGGTTTTTCGAGACAGGGTTTCTCTGTGTAGCTTTGCCCTGGGACTCACTTGGTAGCCCAGGCTGGCCTCGAACTCACAGCGATCCGCCTGCCTCTGCCTCCCGAGTGCTGGGATTAAAGGCGTGCGCCACCACCGCCCGGCTCAAATGTTTTTAAAAAGGAAATGGAACAAAGGCAAATTTTCTCTTTCAGATTTCCCCAGTTGGTAACACTGTGAGGACGCTTTATCCCAGTTGCCACAGTGTGGGTCCCTGCAGCATCTCCCCCATTCTCCTTGTCTAAGGAATCCCGAGCCACTTTTCTGTTTTATGGGGTTGTGTGGTCTGTCAACTTCTTCTGGAAAAGTTATGTGACGGAAGTGGTTACTGTGGAGTGTGACTGTAAACCACCCTGACATGAAATACACATGTTATAAGAGACAGATTTCCATCCACCACCTCATGAAAGTTCCTGAAAACAGGGCAGACCCAAAAGCCATCACATGAGCAGAGAGAGGAATTTTGATTTGTTGGGTGGTAACACTTTTTGTATGTGGCGAGCTGTGTTTGTTCTGAAGAGTATTTCCTATCTGACAATAACATTCTGTTCGCTGTTGTTGTTAATAAAAGAATTAGTATGTGTATTATATGTATTATATGTCCTAATTTGTAAACAGAATACCAGTGGGCAGAATGTTCTCGTAACAATGTCTGCAGTTATCTCCAGTTTGAACTAACCCTTTAAAAAGAAGCTTCCAAAAATACTAAGCACTGCAAACCGAATACTGGAATCCGTACAGATCCCACCACCATGAGTCTGCAGCCTCGCCATTCCGTGCTTTAGGGAATGGCTGCTTGACTTGGGAGCCTCTTGTGTCTAATATGTCGAAGTATGCTCTGAACCTGAGCGGGAAGGGGAGGTTTTATGTATGCACCCGATTTTGTTTGTCTACCAGTGAAATGTCTGTGTGACGTTTTGTGTCGTATTGTTTTGGTGTTATGCCACGTCCTTAGGGCCTGCCAGGCTTCCCCACAGTTGCTGCCCTACACAGCAATCAGATCCTCACCGTCAAGGTTTGTGGATGATATTCATGCTTACTCAGTCAGAGGCACAATCAGCATAAGGGTGAACAAGAGCCATCCGTGGGTTGTCCCAGCTTCTGCTCCTAATGCCAGGGGACTGTGTTGGGCACCTGGGACCTCGGGTGTATCAGGGAGGTTAGCTATGGCCTAAGTGAGAACCTCCTGAGCATTCATGAGGAGGAGGATGAAGTTAAACATGTACAGTGACAATCAAAGGCGTGGCTTCCTAGGAGGCTGCCTCATATCCATGGCTGGATTCACATACATCCCAATGCTCTGTGATGCTTTCCCAGCCAATTCAGTAATTCTAAGGACTCTAAGCTTGGGGCGTTGATACCTGGTTCATGCCACATTATGCTGGTTGACAAATCTGACTTAATTGGAACTAGTGCTCTGTCTGTAGACCTTCTACTCAAGGTTCTGAATGCAAGGTCATTCTGGGTCACTTGCTTCTGGAAGTGGATGTACTAAAAGACAACCCCCCCCAAAAAAAAGACATCCAAATGATGGGGTACACAAGGGACTCATTTCTAATCAAAAGACTCATTCCATTTCAAGGCTGTCTTTCTTCCAGAGAGGCTGAGGGTCTGTCAGTCATGAGCACCAGTTCCATTTTATTTAATGGTCATTATGAGTCTAATGTGTATATCTTTATTTCTTCCTTGGGGCCTTCTGATGCTTATTCCTCAACTCTCTCATCTCTGAACTTCAACCTTTGACCTCACCTGACTGATCAGATGGTGTTTCCTAAAATCAATCATGGCTTTCTCTCTGCTGATCAGCAGCTCATTAAACGCCGGCTGATTAAGGTAGTGCTGCTTCCTGCGGGAGTCTGATGTCTCCTTCGCGTTCAATTATTGCTCTGGGTGCTGTTGCTTTGCATTTATCTCTCATGCATGGCGCATAGATGGTGGGTGGGTCTCTGTAAATATCCCAGAATAAGATTGTGTTTGGTGACTTACAGTATAGAAAGCCTGCCTGGTTTGTTTTGTTTTTTAATCAAGACAACTTCAGTTGTAACCAGCAATAGAAATAGACACATGGTTCCCGAGCCCTCTGGCTCTGATAAATTATACATCTATTATGCAATAGAGCAGGAGCCCATTATGCTTAATCTTTGATTCTGTGAGTAAATATATTTTCCAACTGAAAATGCAGCCACCCATTGGTCATGGTAAATGTGTCCGATAGAGCATTGCCATAGACACCCTTAAACAAGGGCTTTATCCGGCTCTGGATGTGGTAATAAACAGGGCACTTCAAGAGCTGCGCTGCCAGGCTGAGAGCTGCTTCTATTTCATAGCATCTGTTTGGCTCTCCTACAGTAAAGATTTTCTCCTTACTGACAGGTAGCTTGCCAGTGGGCTTCATATTTATGGTGGTCTGGTTCTTTAAGTGTAAATGTAGATCGGATACTATGAATTTAAAGTGCTGGAATAGAACCTGAATATTAATTGCTCATGATTATTGTTGGTTCATTCCTTTCCTCCATTCCAGGGTGACCAAGGACAGGCAGGGCCTCCAGGACCCCCAGGCCCTCCTGGTCCAAGAGGCCCACCTGGGGACACAGGGAAGGACGGTCCCCGAGGAATGCCAGGAGTGCCCGTGAGTTTCTTCCTGGATTGTTGTTCTCCCAGATTTTGTTCCGGGTTAAGGGGTAAACAGCGAGCTGGAACAGGGGGCAAGGGACTGTAGGGCCACGAGGTCAGGTGACTAGAGAAGGCTGGGGGGAGGTAGAAATAGAGGACAGTCAGCGTCTGCAGGGCGCTTCAGCAGCGTTCACTTCATTACTGGGCCAAGAAGAGCCTGAGACCTGAAGACGGCACCTGGATGAGTCGTAGGTGAGCTTCAGGGAGTTCACACTGAGAGATGCCCAGTCTTGCCTGTGTCCTGCCTGCCATTGGGTATGCCACTGCCTTTTTGGGGTGAAGTGGGCTATTAGTGAGAAAAATGAAGCCAAATATTGACAGTGTTTTCTTAAAGGCCAATATTGGGCACAGTAAAGCCCCACGCTGTAGCTAGAGTTTTCCTGCCTGGCCCACAGTCAGGACAAATCTCTCTCACCTGCCAGTCCCACAGCCTCTCAGACCCAACCAAGTAAACACAAAGAATTATATTGGTTACAAACTGTATGGCCATGGCCGTGGCAGGCTTCTTGCTAACTGTTCTTACAGCTTAAATTAATCCATTTCCATTAATCTATACCTTGCCACATGGCTCCTCGTGGCTTACCGGCATCTTCACATGCTGTTTGTCATCGTGGCGGCTGGCAGTGTCTCTCTGACTCAGCCTTCCACTTCCCAGCTTTATTCTCCTCCTTGTCCCGCCTACACTTCCTGCCTAGCCAATGGCCAATCAGTGATTTATTTATTGACTAATCAGCAACACATTTGCCATACAGAACATCCCACAGCACCACGCTGCTAACAGAAAGCAGGTAGAGCTTATTAGTATTGATCCCTTACAGATGACCTGGCTAAGAGTGTTAACAAAACAAAAATTAATGACTCCAGCACCAGAGGGTATGACCATATTATCACTTGACATTTGCATCCGAGGCTTATCTAACAGAAACCATTTTTAAATGATTTCAACACTAGAATTTGTCATAGCAATAACAAAAACATGGGGCATTGGTAACTGATAAGTGATATGACTTGGTACATGCAGCCCAATAATTTAAAGAAATATACGGACAAGATTTTAAAAATGACTGGGTTGATATTGTGATTCCAGGGCTAGAAATTAATGTTTATTGCTGAGTTAAATTTTACTTAATGCATTGCTTAAATTGTTTCCATTGGTGATTTTCTAGTTCAAAAGTAATGATGAGAATGTTTTCTAACAAAGTAGAAATACTTAAAAATAAAGCCAAGGGGGGGAAAAAACTGAAATCAGCAATAGCTGTTAATGTTATTGTACATTGTCTTTGCATTTTTAATGCACATATTTTTGTATCGCTTTTCTAAGGATTAATCTATGTGTGAGGATACAGGGCATTTTATCTCTTTTGCTGTCATCCCCAAAGTCCCACTTACCTTTCTGAAGGCTGTGTGTTTGCTCATGTGAAATTAGGAATGGACCCAGCTGCTCATGGGACTGCTTTCCCTGAACATTTGAAGGTGTTCAATTCATCCTAACTCTACCTGCTTAATAATGTCTGCCATTTTCTTAGGCTGATGCTCCTGGGGAGAGCCTTCCATGGTTTTGGAGGATTGACAGCTTTCACTGACAGTTAGTCACCACAGTGGCTGTCCTCAGATAACCAGTTAAATAACCAGTTAAAACATTTGCCAGCAGACACGGTGGTATATAGCAGGCGTCATTTCTGTGATGCCAGCACTCAGGAGGCAGAGCCAGGAGAGTGCTGTGAATTCAAGATCAGTGTGGGCAGGCGGGAGAGATGGCCCAGCAGTTAGCACTGGCTGCTCTTCCATGGAACCCGAGTTTGATTCCCCGTACCTACGTGGAGGCTCACAACCATCTGTAACTCGAGTTCTAGAAGATCTAACACTGTCTTTTGGCTTCTTAGGACACTGAACACACATGGTGCACAGACAGACATGCAGGCCAAATACACATACACAGAAAATAAATATTTTTAAAGATGTATTTTAAAAATCAGCATGGGCTACACAGTGAGTTCTACCGGTCTAGAGAATAGTGTGGAAACTTGTTTTTAAAAGAGCCCAAACGAAGCCAGGCGGTGGTGGCGCACGCCTTTAATCCCAGCACTCGGGAGGCAGAGCCAAGAGGATCTCTGTGAGTTCGAGGCCAGCCTAGGCTACCAAGTGAGTTCCAGGAAAGGCGCAAAGCTACACAGAAACGCTGTCTCAAAAAACCAAAAAAAAAAAAAAAAAAGAGCCCAAACGAAGAAACAAGGGTCTAACCTGTTATTGGTAGAAAAAAAAAATGCCCAGATCATCAAATATTATGTATTATAGAAGAAACAAATTTATGCTGGACGTGACTGTAAGGAGACAAAGATAATGGAGCTGGGAGATGCTCAGTAAGTGCCACACGAGCTTGAAGACCAGAGTTCAAGCCCCAGCATCCATGTCAAAGCTGAGCACAGCAAGCAAGTTTGTAGCCCATCACAGGTAAGGCAGAGACAAGAGGATCCTTGCTGCTTGCTAGCCAGACAGTCTAGCCAAATCAGCTCTTTGTGATATGTTTACATTCTATTTAATCTTTTTTAAAAAAATGCACTTGACATTCCCATGACTGAGAAAGTATTGGGGAAAAGAAGATATTGAAAAATTTTAAATATTTTCTAATTGTTACAGTAATTAAATTAATTACTCATTGTTATTAATTTTTTAAAGGGTGAACCAGGGAAACCAGGAGAACAAGGCTTGATGGTACGTATCTCAGTTTGTTTTTTAATAAGAATAATAAGAAGTGAGGTTATTAAAACTATGGTCATATTTATGAGTGAGTAATCAACCTTTTTGTATGACCCATAACAGAATCAGTAATTTATGAAAGTTTATTAGAAAATAACAGTCCCTACTTACTGCATGCTGAGGATCACAAGACTACTGTTTTAGGGTTTCTGTTGCTGTGAAGAGACACCATGACCATAGCAAATCTTTTTTTTTTGGTCACTTAAAAATATTTTATTTCTTTCTTTTATTTAAAAAATATGTATATATAGTTTTTTTTTTCCTCTGACCTTTTTTTTTTTTTAATGCTGAATGCTGTTTATTGAGGGAGGGAAGAGGTCTTAAATACAGGCTTACAGCACAATGGGAGAACCCCAGAGGGCAGAAGTTCGCTACCAATGTTTTACAATCTTGCACCTAAGGAACTTCCCTTAAGCATTCAGGAGGGTGGAACCTGGCAGGGAATTAGCATAGGGAGGATATCAAAGTCAAGGTCAGCAAGCAAGGCAACAGTTACCCAAAACGGGGGCCAGAGCCCTACAGGTCCCCCTTTTACTAAAAAATGAGCTTCTGACTTAGGGGCTGGAGAGATGGCTCAGAGGTTAAGAGCACTGACTGCTCGTCCAAAGGTCCTGAGTTCAATTCCCAGCAACCACATGGTGGTTCACAACCATCTGTAATGAGATCTGATGCCCTCTTCTGACCTGCAGTCATACATGCTGTATAAGTAATAAATAAATAAATCTTTTTTAAAAAAGAAAAAAAAAGCAGTTAACTCTGCAACTCACACACGATTGAGCCTGTATGATAATGAGTATTCAGAGACGGGTAATACCTGGGGGGTGCTCACCAACCTAAGACAGAGTGCCTGTGTGGCCTGGGCAGGTGTCTCCATGACGGGTAAGGTGACCTGCTGACTTCCCACGCAACCTAAGGCAAATCTTATAAAGGAAAACATTTAAGTGGGACTGGCTTATAGCTCAGGGTTTAGTCCATTGTCATCATGGTGGGAAGCATGGCAGCATAGAGGCAGACATGGTGCTAGTGGAGCTGAGAACTGCATTCAGATCCACAGGCAGGAGAGACAGGGAGGGAGAAGGGGAGAGAGGAGAAAGAGAGAGACTGGGCCTGGCCTGAGGTTTCAAAGGCCACCCCCAGTGACACACTTCCTCCCCAAAGCCACACCTCCTAATCCTTCTAATCTTATCAAAGAGTTCTGAGCGTTCAAATACATGAGCCTGAGCCTATGGAATGAATAAGAATGGTCTTACTCCATAACTATATATCCATAGAAACTATATATCCACTCTGCAAGTGGAGCTGACTAGTGGTGGAATGAAAGCTCCTGGGACCAAGCCACACCCCCCACACAGAAATTGCTCTTTTCATGACCTGTATGATCAAGATATATATTTGGTCCAGAGTATTTTAAAAGAAAATTATAAAATATTTATCATCAGTGGTACCCAAATGGATAGACAGCAGTAGCTCATAGTCTGCAGACTCAGAGTGAAAGAGGAATTCCTGGAAGAGCAGGATATAAATTCTGAAATTGTTTTAGCCACCTATAATTTCTGTCCTGGAGACTCATCAAAATCTATTCATTTCATTCATTCCTACATCAAAATCTAGGTGGCATCCTCGGAAGCCCTGTATACCCCGAGTCTGTGCAGACTAATTGCTCACTGGCTTCCGCTCTCCACTCTGGCACCTAGCACAGCACCCTAAACTTATATGGAGTACTCTGGAGTTAAACGGGTGCTCTGGAGAATTCCATTCCTGCTTTCACTGTTTATCTATTCCCCAGGATGGATTAGAGGAACTGTACATAATCTCACTTTCCGGCAGTTTCTTGTTTTATTTTTATTTATGTTCTTGGAGTGCTGGAGATTGAAGCCAGGACCTTACATAGGCTAGATACCTGCCCCACTAAGCCATTTCCACTCCTGATTCAAGTCTTTAAATGTAAGTGCTGTGCCTAGCCCCAAATGAATTATAATGTGTTCTTACTGTGCTTCTATTTCCCATCTCATAAAAACTTTCTCAAATGCAGATAAATATTGACCATAGTTTCTGTAAACCTTTCCATCTCTCTTTACAGTCTTCAGATGAGTTCATGTCTCATTTTCTAGATGCAGCCAAGAAATGTAAATGAAATCACAAATGTCCCAAGGATTTGTGGGCTTAATGATCATCTAAAGTGAATTTATAGATGATCCCTTTCAAAAGTGTAAATTACTGCTTCAAGTGAACATTTCTTTAATATGCAAACTAGTTAAATGCTGTTGTAAATCTCAGTGATTCCTCACAAATGAACGTAAGTAGTGTGCAAGTCAGACCGATAGCTTGAACGTTTCTGTTCCCCTCATCCCCAAACCCCATCCCAAAGATGGCCACCATTCTGACTGGTGTCATTGTGAGTTAGCTTTGTCCGCATTTGAATTTTATACTAATTGACTCGTACAGTATGTCCACGTTTGTGTCTGGATTTTTTCATTCAGCATTGTATTTGTGAGATCATCTACTTCTGTTTTAATAGCTTTCACAGCTGTTCAAAAAAAAACCAGGAGGAAGAACCTTACTTCCTCTGTTACCCCGTTAAAACTACATCAGTCAGAGCAGCGAATGAATGAGTGCCTGTCTGACCTTGGGCAAGCCACTTAACCCCTCAATTTCTCATCTGTACAGAAAAAATAACACTGTCTTTGCCTGCCTTAAAAGGTTGACAGAGACAAATGTAATAAATTAGTGGAAATCTCTTTAAAATATGTAATGAGAACTATATATGAGTGTGTTATTATCACTCTTTGTTCCTCCACATAGTACAGGTGAGCAAAGAGTTATATAACAGATGTGTTCATGAAGGTTGTTTTTAATATGAATCAGATTTTCATAAATCAATCTATTTTAAAATTGCTGAAGAATTTGGTTCTTTAAAACAGTCCATTTTAGGATCTTTTTGTGAAACAATATAACTCCTTACTTCATTTTCTCAGCAAAATGAATTGGTCTGTTTTATACTTGCCTGCTAACATAAATGATTCCTGTGCATTTTAACCTATCCCAAAAAGAGTACCGGGAATACATTTGAATTTTTGTTTGTTTTGATTTGGTTTGGTCTGGGATTTTTGAGACCCATTTTCTAGCTTGCCATTTTCTAGGCTGACCTGGAAATCACTTTGCAACTCAGTCTGGCTTCAAACTCATGATCTTCCTGCCTGGCCTCCTAAATTCTGGGATGATAGGAATGTGGCATCATATCCAGCACTTATGGTGGTCATTTTTATGAGGCAAGGTATCTTGTACAGTTTTTACTGTGTGTGTGTGTGTGTGTTTGCTCATGCTCATGCATGCTCACATACACACTCACAGTGTTTGATCCCAGAAGTCTGGAAGAAAGAAAGATGTCCTACCCCATTAGTGCTAGCTTGAAAGCACTTCATGTGTGACGTGGTCTTTTTCCTCTGCACAGATCCATAAACTGTTGGTAGTGATTGCAATTCTGTATACCTTGATGCATTATGAGCAGCAAGTGAAGAGCTGATGTGAAATGCTCTGTGAACCACAAGGAATTCCATAGATGAGTAGCATTCCTCTTGAGGCAAATGTCAAGCAATGTAAGCAGCCACCCAGAAAGACTCCAGAAAAGCTATAAAGAACGGCTGAGTAATCAGTGACATCATAGCATGTCAATACTGCAGTTGGGCATTCAATTGGTTGTTGTCACCGAGCCTTCTGTGTGTCACATCACATTATCAATTTTTCATGATGGCACTTCTCATCCACCAGTTCAAACAAAGCACAATGAATAGCCTCGCTCTTTTCCTCTCTGGATAATCCCCCGTTGGTTTGAGTTGCTCAGTAGTGCTTGTTTAGATGAGGGTTCTAACGATGCACTGGAGGATCTTTATGAACTTCAAGTGTCTCTGATGATGAAATGAGGAAGCTAAAACCAGCCTACAAAGCTGTTTATGAGTGTGTCAGGTAGGGATTTAGTTTTCATAATCCAGGATGGATCATTAGACTGCACAGTAACTATCCGAAGATTAACAGCATGCCTGATACAGTAAGAGGGAGAGCCTGAAGTTCAGGCAGGCCTGCTTCCCTCGAATCCTGCTCAGCATCTAGTCTGTAAATGTGGCCTTTGGGCTTTCTGAGAAGTTCTGGGGAGATTTTAAAGACAGAATCTGGAACTTAAAATTTTTAACTATGTCTAAATAAAAGCAAACACCTCCCCCCAGAACACACTCTACTATAAAACCAGGCGTACAGCTGAGAGCTGGCCACAACTGGAAGTGCTCAGGGTTGGCTTCTAGCACAGGTCATGTCCAGATCTGTCCTCCAAGCCTGCAGTATTCTAAATAGTTGTTCGAGTCGTATTTAAGGGCATCTTTCCTTTAGACCCCCTTACTGTTTGACAAGTGCAGAAGTTCTTAGCAACATGAAAGATTAATGGCATTTTTTAAAGATTTACTATATATTTAATATATTATGCATTATTAATAATATATTAATATATATTATTTGTATATATGCCCTCTTCTCATGTATGAGTGTTCTATCTGCATGTACAACTTTACACCAGAAGAGGGCATCAGATCCCACTCTAGATGGTTGTGAGCCATCATGTGGGTGCTGCGAATTGAACCCAGGTCCTCTGGAAGAGCAGCCAATGCTCTTAACCTCTGGGCCACCTCTCCAGCCCTAGATGGCATTTTTTAACTCCTTTTAACCCACGCCTGTCTCCTAGTGTGCTGCTTCCCTTTTGTCAACTGGACACAGCTGGAGCCACCTGGGAAGAGGGGACCTCGATTGGGAAAATGCTTCTATTGGCTGTCAACAAGTCTGTGAGGCTTTTTCTTCACTAATGATTGGGTTAATGTGGGGGACCCAGCCCACTGTGGGTGGTGCTACCCCTGTACAGGAGGTCCTGGGTTGTATGAAAAGCAAGCTGAACAAGCCAGTGAGCAGCATTC